AAAAAAAAAAAAAAAAGCATAAGTGAGCCAATTTATTTTTTTATTACCAAATATAATTTTTGTTTAATTTGATGGATAATATCAAATCATTTCAAATTTTAATAATGTACGCGAATATCATTTCAAATATTTAGATAATATCATTCTAATACTCTAATCATCTAATATCGAGATATTTTTTTCATCTATTAAATTAACACTCAATTTGCCTATAAAAATAACATACACACTCTGAGTTGTTATTGTATCCCCACTCATAAAAAAATCAAGCAAAACATAATGAACAAATAGATAATCTGTATTGACAAGAAATCATGAGGACTCATTAGGCAAAACACCATGAAAACTCTATGCAATCCAACTCTTTTAAAGGATAAACGTATCTTTTTCGAACAAAAAGATATTGAAAAATGATATTTTTATTATTATGAGGTATTAAATTTTATGCGTATGAAAGTCGAATTTTAGGTTGTTTTGTTATAAAATCAAGGTAATATGTTTCTCAAATTTTAGCATATTTCTATAATAACTTGCCATAAAATATTAATGATAATTTGACAAAATGTATGTATTCCTCTTGAAAATCATAAACATCTTTGAACAAATATTGGTTAATAAAATTTAAAAATTATCCGACAACGATTCTAGAAAATTGTGAGATAATATGTATATAAGGAAATTTATCGTATGGTTCAAATTTGGGTTTCAAATTTAAAAGTCAAATAAATAATTATTCATAACTTACGTGTCAATAATAACTTAGACATAAATGCAATAGTCAATTAATTATAGTTCAATAAATTACTCAACAACTTAAATATTTTTTATTTTGATAGTTTATACAAAATTAAATTCATTTTAATTAATGAACACTATAAGTTTTATAATTTTACTTATTATTCACATAGATTTTTAAATATATGATAAAATTTCACCAAAAGAATTATTTTATGGAATCACATTGTAGTCCAATCGAATTTCTGAATAAATATTTTAAAATGACACTTATTTTAAAATAAATATAATGTAATTTATTTTCAGTTACGTGCACCATACGGGTTGTATACTAATTAAATTGACATGTTTTATGTAATTTTGCACGATATAAAATTCATATAACATTTTCAATAAATTAATATAAGTAAATATATTCCATATTGATTCAATATTTTTAATTTATAAATATTATCTAATAATCATTTTTAATTTATAAATACTAATGAATATCTCTTACCCGTGCATCACACGGGATTCGTACTAGTATATTGAAAAAGAGAGGTCAATAAATCATTTGTGGAAAGTTTTTAAAAAAATTAGTCAATCCATTTGACTTACCACTTATGGAAAAACAATTCAAAATTCAAAATTTGAATTAGTGGTACGCCACGCGTGTATATATGGCTTGGAATATTTGTACATACTGCTTGATGTAATTGTACATACAACTTAGATAAAACATTCAACCGAGTTTCCTATTTCATTGGCAAAGAGTTTGGAAGGAATCTACTTGAAAATTTAAATATATTTATGGTCGGTATTTTGATTTCGATGAAATATGTCATATTATGTTACTTGAAGATTTAATTTTATATTTATTTGAGAGTTCTCAATTCTCTTTTAACATCTTTATTCAAAATCAATATTCATTATCTATTAAAAAAATAAAACTTATTAAAATCTTATTTTTATGATGACATTATTTGAAAAATCTGATTTGTACTGGAATAATATTTATTTCGTACATATATTAAATTTTGCTATATTCAAGCTTGCTAATAAAAATTTGCACTGAAATATGCTTTAGGAAAAGTTGTCCAAATTAATAATTACTCTCAATTATGTAATTAATATGTAGTCAAACTTTCCGGTTTAGTTTATAATATGATTTAAAATGCGTAACTAATATGTAGTCGAGCTTTCAAGTTTACGTACAAATCAATAAAAAGATTAACAAAATTAACTAATTAAAAGAATCAATTAAATGAACGATACATATAAATCTACATCAATCAGTTATATTGTTTTCTATTCTATGAAATATATACACGTTTAGATAAAAATAAATCACATGTAAAAAGAGTTTCATTATCGAAGGTCACATCTTATTTTACCAAATGAAACAACGACTTTGACTTAATCCAATAAAAACAAGAGCCATATATTGTTATGCATAAGCAAATATTATATTACATTACAAAAATTCATTATTATCACAAATAGAAAAAAAAAATGTATCGAATTGATACCTAACATTTTTTGTAAAAATAATTTTAAGGAATCCTAAAACAAGCAAATGACATTATTTTTCATATGAATCTATTCTTTTATTTGGAATTCTTCCACATTAAAATTTAAATACTTGAAATATACGATAATCGTATTTACAATATATAAGTCAAAACATGCAAGAATTACATTTCAAAGGTCGTATATAACCACATGATTTAAACATTATAACCTTTGTATGGAAGTTAAAAATTTGCACCAATTTGTTACCAATTATATTATCTATTATATATGATATATCCCCTTAAAAATTTGCACTAATTTGGGATAGGGATTGTGAGAAGCTTATTGGCAAGAGTTGCGACGTGCTTAGGCTCGAGTTTGTTGACAAGGTAATAAATCTCATATTATTAAAATTTATATTCATTATAAATATATAATATTAATTTATACGTTTTTTTTTTTTCATAATAGAAAAAGACCGGCTATAGGTTGGCCGATGAAGTTGACCAATTGGTAGGCAAAATTATGATTTTTAAAGTAATTCGGATCCAATTCAAGAAACATTTTGGCTACACCTCGACATTTTTCATTGGTAGATTGATTGATGATGAGAATTTGATCTCAAAATACAACCAATGGGTTGTTAAGCAGGCAACCGGTGATACGAGTTACTTGAAGGATAGAACTATACTAGCACCGACATTGGATGTTTTTGAGTCTATTAGTACATGACATCGTTAAATTTATCTGATGGTCATACGTACTTAAGTTCCAAGTCAGACTCTAATAACAATTTTTTGTCTGATCTTCACAAGCCCAAGTTCTTGAATAATATAAAACATGTGTATGATCTCCACACGCCCAATGTGTTGATTCTTAGAATGACTAAAACTCATTTCGAGTTTAGAATTACTTTCAAGTTCCAGCGGCAGCAGTTTTCCATTATTATTTCATACCCCATTATTGTAAACAAAAGCCAAGGACAATTGTTATCGCATGTAGATTTTTTCAGTCATGGACAGTTATACGTTCTTGTCTCCCGTATCACCAATTGAAGTGGTTTGAAAATATTAGTTTGTGCAGATGATGAATCGCCCACAAATCAAACAGAAAAAGTTGTACACAAGAAGTGTTCAATAATTTATGATTTTTTATTTTGTTTGAGACCCCTTTACTTTTGTTACATATATAACAAGTTTATTAATTTCAATGTTAATTTTTTTAAATATTAGAGTAGAATATATAATCCCGTGCATCGCACGGATCGCGACTAGTTGTATATGGAATAGGTCGGAAAAGTATGTTCCATTCTATTCTACAATTATCGAGTATGGAATTTTTGTTCGAAAAAGATATGTCATTTATATTGTTTTATTGTATGCAAGAAATGAATATTATTATTATATTCTTTCACCAAAATTTCCACTTGCCCCCAATTTTTCCCCTTTTCGACTATTTTCAACACGTATATACATATATCTACCCTTGTACGTATCTCTTTACCTTCTCTCATCCAAAATCGCTCCGTAATTCAACCGAAATTATTGAAGAAAAAAGAGAGAAATTGTCAGAACGATTGTTCCGTTTTTCAGCTTTCTTTTATTTCTCCGTTGATTTTAGTTTTCCTCCTGCAAAATTTGAGGAAAAATTGGTGCAAAAAACTTGCATAATATACAGGAAAAAGAAGCATGGGCAACATCGGGAGCAGCGGCGTCCACGGCCGGAGGAGGAACTCCGGCAGGCGGAGCCAACCCCATCCCCACCCTCCACCGCCGCCTCCGCAGGCCCCGCAGCCGGAGATCACCGCCAACCGCTACGTTTTCGCGGCGGCGACGCCGTACCCCCCGTCGCAGTACCACGGCCCTAACGCGGCGCCGTACTATCAGTACCCCGGTTACTACCCGCCCCCGCCGCCCCCCACGTCGGTGCCGATGCCGCTCCTAGCGCCGTACGACCACCACCACCACCACCCGGGGGCGGCGCACGGGGCCTGGGTCAACGGGCGGTACCCCTACGGGCCGATGGTGCAACCACCGCCGCCGCCGCCGCCTCCGTACGTGGAGCACCAGAAGGCAGTCACGATCCGGAACGATGTTAATTTGAAGAAGGAGACGCTGAGGATCGAGCCGGACGAGGCCAATCCAGGGAAGTACCTAGTCGCGTTCACGTTCGATGCCACAGTTGCCGGAAGGTAAAATAAAGTGGTTGTTGTTTGGTGCTACTCGTGGTTGCTGGTTTTTAGCATTGGTTGATGAATTTTCTGCAGTTCTGTTTGTTGTGATATATTCCATGGTTGATTTGGCTGTACTAGCTAATGAATTTTCTGTACTTCGTTTGTTCTTTAAGGAACTAGCTTTCATGTTTAGCTTAAGTTGTTCTTGGAAGCTAGGCAGGTCATTGGGTTCCTGTGATAAATTGCATAAGTCGAGATGTTTTGATGAATAGCAATCTCATCAAAGTGGAATTTGGAAATGAAACTGAACTTTTGTGTTACCTAGCAAACTTGGTATCACATGACCTTGAGTGTGGTATAATTGCAAAAAGTCCATATGGGTGTATTATAACGGTGTTTCTAAATGATTATGTTAGATGATTCTTGTGACTGATATTGGTTATAGTTCCCTTGTCCTTATGGTTGTACGTTAATGGTGTTTCGAGGGGATCTTTATATCAGCTCATTCAGCATAACATCGTTTTTCAGATCATGCTTCAGTTGATTGCAATTATATTTCCATATTTCTTCACACTTCTCAAGGATCACGTTAGTTGATAGATTATTCCAAGTGATGTCAGTTATAATTCCCTTGTCCATATAGTTGTTATGTTAATGGTGTTTTGATGGGATCTTTTTACCTGCTCATTCAGCATAACATCATTTTCCAATCATGGTAATCGGTTGATTGCAATTCCATTTCCAGATTTCTTCACACTTCTCAAGGATTACGCTAGTTGTTTACATTCTTTCGCGTGATATTCGTTATAAACTCATAAAATGCCTTATCACTTGCAGCATCACGATAATTTTCTTTGCCAAAGAAGGTGAAGATTGTTGCCTGACCCCAATGAAAGAGAGCCTACACCCACCCATTACAGTGCACTTTCAGCAAGGTTTAGCCCAGAAGTTCAAGCAGCCCTCAGGAACCGGGATAGATTTTTCAATGTTTGAGGAGGCAGAGCTTTCGAAAGACGCTGACATGGATATTTACCCACTGGCAGTCAAGGCTGAGGCCTCGCCTGACACTCAAAGTGGGAACTCGGATGGAGGGTCGACAAACTCACAGATAACACAGGCCGTGTTTGAGAAGGACAAAGGAGAATATCACGTTCGTGTGGTTAAGCAGATATTGTGGGTAAACGGCATGAGATATGAGCTGCAGGAGATTTATGGAATTGGGAACTCAGTTGAGGGTGAGTTTGACTCGAATGATCCAGGGAAAGAGTGTGTCATTTGCCTTTCCGAGCCACGGGACACAACTGTTCTCCCTTGTCGGCATATGGTACTCTCTCGATTAAGAAAATTCTCTAATTTCTTTATGAGTAATTTTTTATTTTTTTTTATCTATTATTAGTAAAGATGTTTTAAATTACAAATATCCTTACAAAATACATGTTTGGTGTAATATTAATAGTCAAAATTACCTTTAATATCATGACCTTTTTCGAAATTGCAATTTAATCACGACGTTTTCACTTTTGCAAATTATATCACAATCTTCAGTTTGTTGCAAATTGGTGCACCGATTTGCATATCCCGTGCAAACTATATCACAATCTTCAGTTTGTTGTTCGACCACATCAGCTTTTCTATGACTGTTTGCAACAAACTAAAGATTGTGATATAATTTGCAAAAGTGAAAAGGTCATGATTAAATTGCAACTTCGATAAAGGTCGTGATATTAGGGGCAAATTTGCCTATATTAATATTATTATTTTTCGAATATGAGCAATTGCTTTCCTATTTACATGGTTGACTCAAACCCGGAACCTAAGTTGCATTGTTCATTCCCCCCTTTTTCTTTAATTGGTAAAGAGGCAAACCTCGACGGTAAATCAGTAAATGCTGCAATTGTCCCTAAATCAATATATCTGTGAGTTCTTTTTTTTTTTTAGGCAGTTTGTAGATGACATAAATCACTTTCCTTTTGGTGCAGTGTATGTGCAGCGAATGTGCAAAAGTGTTGAGGTTCCAAACGAACAGGTGCCCGATATGCAGACAGCCAGTCGAGCGCCTTCTAGAAATCAAGGTTAGCAATGGTGGGGCTGAGAATGAGGAAAATTAAGCTACGGTGTGATTTCTTCAGTTGTGTAAAGTTTTTTTTTTTTTTTTCTTTTTTCTTCGTCCCCCTTTTTATGTACTCTTCTTTTGTTCGTGTTTCGTCCTCTTGGCCTCGGCCTTAAAACTTTACACTGCACTTCCGGATTTTAATAATCACGTAAACTCGAAGCTTTATTCGCAGGCAAAGTGCTTCTATTGTATACTATGATCTTAGTTTGTTGGTTTGATCGTCTCTATAGCTTTTTTGTTATCCTTAAAGAAAGTTTTGAAGAACACTATAGTGTTGTTTTGTTCATGCCTTTTTGAAGGATTATATGTTGAATGTGTGATTTGTCTTGTGTTTTTTTCCTCCAATTTCCATGTGTTCCTCTCTGATTATGCAAATGATAGGGGTGCTGTTAGAAAAAGGCTTCACAGATAAATATATATACATACTTATATACAAACTATTACATAATCCGCTTGTGCCATTGCAAAACTGAAACTCGGACCAGCTGAACATGGTAGAGCAAGTCCGATTACTTAAATTAAAACTAACCTCATAAGCAGCTGCAATTTCACGAAATTTCGCTTCTGCTTCCTCTCTCTATTGTCGACATTCTTATCCGGATGACATTGCAAGGCAAGCTTTATGTAAGCTTTCTTGATCTCTGACATGAATGCCGTTTTGGAAACTTCTAGAATCTTGTACCAGTCCTTCCGTTGGCTTAATTTCAATGACCTCTCAGCTTTCATTAGCGTCACGCGAATGTGCATATCCTGTCAAAGGTTACTGATTAGAGAAACTTTACGAACATTATAATAGAAATAGTGTCAGAATCTAAGGAGTGTCGATAAAATAAAATAAAATGAAATCCAAGATTAACTTTGTGGAGAGACTATATATGTACTTGATGTTTTTGTTCAGTTGTGCATGGAGTCCAAGCTATGCACTTTTTTCAAGCAAAACTTCACATGCAACAAGTCGCTTGTGAGCTTGGCTCGGCTTGTTAAGGCTTCGTTTCATAATTGAGTCGTTTAAAGCTCGTTCGGTTAAGAGTTCGGCTCGATAAGGCTCAAAAAGATGATTTTTTTTTATATATATAATTTTTTATGGTTTAACTCGTTAAGACTCGAACTTGGCTCATTAATATTGATAAGGGTTCAAGCCCTTATTAGTTTTATCACGTTGACCACAACAATAGAGACGTTATTAGTTTTATCTTTTTTTTTTTCCTTATTGTCATAGGCGGGGAGGGGATAATAGGAGACCAAACTATATTCCAGAAGATGTTGCTGGTACAAACTTAATATACTTAGCATGAGAGGAATGTTTGCTTGTTTATTTGCATTTTATACAATTATCAACTTATTTAATATTTAAAATTACATAATTTAAAATAGGGTTGAATTGAGATGTTTGCTTAATATTATATTACGAATTCTGATTTACGAAAATTGTGAGCAAATATAGTAAGCAAGGACAAAATTTCAGATATTAAGTTACACAATGTAAGTAAGGACAAACACCGACATATTGAAAAAGGAGAATTTAACAGAACCAATTCCAACAGCTATTGCCTGTTGGTAAGAGCACAAACAATGGTGTAGGGGTCATATTTTCAGGTCAATCAGCCAATTCACGAGCCCAAACGCAGACCCAAAACAACATCAAAAAATAAAAATAATTTAACGATAATTTAGGAATTTGAAGTTTCGCGTTCCAAATGCTCACTAGCTTCCTTGAAAGACAGAAGTTCTTGCATGAGTGAGGCCAGTTTCGACTCATCCACTTCACGGATATGGGCAGGGACTTTCTCTTGGTAGCCTGGAGCACTCGCCTTCTTTGTCAAGTTGTCACATTGCCTGTAGTGCAGTAAAATTCAACTTGTTAATTCTGGTCTGACTATTAGACACAAAATTATTATATTTCGTAGTATAAGTATGCATTTTTTGTAAGTTGCGGCTGCATAATGGTTAGCAGGTTAGGCAGCCTAGCAGCACTATTTGCAAATAAATATTTTTTTTTTTTTTTGGTAAAGCCATAGGGGTAGTATTGTAATTAATCATTTTCTCGAAGACGTGAACCAATGATAAAATGAAAGGCTCTCACTTTTGCAGGTCCTCCATTTTCTTCTTGATTTTTTCAAGTTCGGCTTCGACATTAATGTTGCCTTGTTGCTTGAGGAAAACTGACAGGGACTCGTTGACCACGTCCACCTTACAACCCAGTGGTGCTTCATCATTCTCGCTCAAAACCTAAAATAGAAAATAAAAAATCGCACGGTTTAAAATGTCCACTCAGAATCATAGCAGGAAACAATATTCAATCTGAGCAAAGAAGCAACAGCTCGAAGGAAAATTCCAAAAAAATTAAAATAAATAAATAAAAATTGATCACGAAATAAAACAGTGACATACTTCAAGTGAAGATAATGTGGCAAGAGTGGTAATCTCCAGTTCGTGACTCTTTATGATATCACAGGCATCGTTTGTGCGGCAACGGACAAAAGCCACTCGCCTGAAAAGGGTACTGTGCTAGTTAGCGAACTCAGGACAAAGTACTAAGAGTGTGATCGGATTTTTCAATCACAACTCAAATTTAATTCCATTTATACTCAATTTCAAAGCTCCTGAATATTATCAATATAATTAAATAATACCACTCAATCATTCTTACACATCACATCAACTTTAATTCACTATTCATCCTCTTACATAATTTTAACTACTCATCACTTCCAATCACCTTTCTCCTACTTTTACATATAATCAACTTTAATCATTTTATTTTAAATATTATTTTAATACAAAAACAAAATTCCACTCAAACCTGACCAAACCAACTTTTTCAAAATTAACTATGGTTAACCAAAATAACCAATATGATTTATATCCCATCACACCCTAAAGCTGTTTTAAGCATCATAAGTCAGCCAGTTTGATAGTAACTGGCCACAAAGGAACAATAAGTGGTGCATGATATATTTAGGTCTTCATTTAAATTGTTATTAGTTCCGAATGTTTAAGAAGCATGGATGCAGGCGATCAATGTCATGTGTACCTTTCATGCCTCTCATTTGGTGCCAATTGTGATCGAAGAGACCTCAGTGATTTCACCACTGACTCGACCATATCCATCTCTAACTCCACTTCATCATTAGTCCAACTCTGCCAAAAAAAAAAATAGCATTGAGCACTGAATTATAATTTAGGCACAAGAAACAAACAAATAAACAATAACAGAATTTTTTTTTTACAAAATTACAAATATCCTCTTCACTATTCATGTCCATTCCACACATTACAGCAGCAGGCAAGATCAAATGTAAAGCTTCATGGGGTGTTTGCAATACCTAGATGGTATTTCTAATTTGGAATGCATTTTGAGTTTTTTTTATAAATATGAGTTTTTTTTATAAATAAACTAAACATCCAGAGTAATTTTTTAAACCCTTGATATAAACAATGCATAAAAGCATTTAAAGACATTACCTCCACTACTGAGGGGTATTCAGATATTACAATGGATTCTTTCCTCACGGCATCTTTCTTAGAAGGAAGACGCTGCCATAGTTCTTCCGTGACGAATGGCATAAGAGGATGAAGTAATCTCAACCCATAATCCAAACACACCCACAGTGTATCCTGTGCATATCTTCTTGCAGATGCAAGTGCAGGATCATTACCAGAAAAATACGGCTTAATTACTTCAATAAACACGTCACACAATTGAAACTGCCACCATGAGTATACAGCTGTAGCAGCATCAGAAAATTCATACGAATCAAGAGATTGAACTGTTTTTGCTATAGCTTTGTTGAGAACAGAGAGTATCCACTTGCAGCTGAAAGGCATATCGGTAGAAACTATCTCCTCTGGAGGGACATAATCGTCTCCAAGTTTAGTCATGGCAAATCTAATAGCATTCCATAATTTGTTGCACCATTGCCGATACCCAACCACCCTCTGGATGTCCAGATTAATTTTGTCTGACTGCAAAAACATAATATGAAGATTACCATTCGAACATTGAAGAGAATTATATCTAAAGAAAACAACATCATCAAAAATAGAAGATAGGTATAAACCTGAGCTGTGTAGGAAACGAGGGCAAAGCGCAAAGCATCAGCTCCACATTCAGGAATACCCTTTGGGAAATCCTTCTTCTGACCCTCTTTCGCAGTTTTCAACTCATTAGGATCCAAGTTGCCCTCCTCTAGCCTTTTGTGAAGATTTTCAAGGGTTACTCCCTTAATGACTTCTAGAGGATCAATGACATTTCCTAATGACTTAGACATCTTGCGTCCATGGGCATCACGAATCATAGGATGCAAGTAAACCTTGACAAATGTAAAAAATGAATGGTTATTTTCAGTTTTGTATTAAGAAGTACAAAAGGCTAAAATGGCAGCAAAAACAAAGTTCAGGTTGGTGATAAAGACAATGAACAGAAAATTACAAAAACAAAAGGGAAAAAAAAAAATCAAAGTTCTGATAAAATAAATTACATACATAAAGAAAAGAATAAAGAGTAAAGGGTAAGACACAATTAACCAAAAATAATAAGCTAATAATGCTGCTCACCTTTCTAAATGGTACATCACCTCCTAGCTTCATTCCCATCATCACCATACGAGCAACCCAAAAAAATAGGATATCATGGCCAGTCTCAAGAACAGATGTTGGGTAAAATGCTCTAAGATCGTCTGTATCATCTGGCCACCCCAACACAGATAAGGGGAAAAGTCCGGACGAAAACCAGGTGTCCAGAACGTCAGGATCTTGGAAAAGCTGGAACTTCTTTCCAGCGAATATTTTGCTAGCTTCCACCTGAGCTTCTTCCTCGTTCCTGGCAACCACCCACTGTTTATTGTACGCACCAAGTTCCTTCAGTTCATCATCCTCCAACATTGCATACCATGCAGGTATTCGGTGGCCCCACCAAAGTTGTCTTGAAATGCACCAATCACGAATATTCTCAAGCCACCTGCAATGTACCGGAAAAGCATAGCTCAGAAAACCTGACAAGCAATTACAATATAACATTTGAATTAAACAGCGACATAAATAGGAATATTCGAATCCCATTCTTTCCATCAGCACACATAATAACAAACAAATATTCACAAACAGAGAGAATGTTGAATATATGTGTTAATCAAAAGCTGAATCATAAGCATCAAACTCTAGCATAAGACGAGTAGTCAGACGTACCATAGTACATGAATCTCCTAGCTTGCCTATCATATTCCATAAGAAAACTAGACTTCATTAGGCCAGTCAATTATAAATACCTCTGCCATTCAGCAACATATTGGCGGGGAATGATCTCAATCTTTGGATTTTTTTCATCAATGACAGCATCAAGACCTTGTTGTCCCATGCTTTTGCAGTTTACATACCACTGAGGCTTTATGAGGGGCTCCACAACGTCATTACTTCTAGAACAAATTCCTAAACGCATCTCATTATTTTTATCACCTCGATAAAGTCCCTAAATTGCAAAGTAAAATAACCATTAACATACTAATCGAAATATATATTTACTTCAATGAAAAACTGCATGGTGTCCCACCAACAGAGATAACAAGGCCCTATAAATAGTGACTAGGGATATTGCACGATGCATTCAAAATTCCATTGCACCTCATTCACGGAATTCAAGAACGCTAGCAACATCAAGCCCAAATATTAAAGATATCTAAAAGTATGTAAACAATTAATTATACCTTTTCCTTTAAAGCTTCTGTCACAGCCACACGAGCCCTGAAACGTGGCATCCCTGCAAACTCCTGACCACCGTTGCTATTTATTTTTCCATCATCAGTAAAGATGTTTATAAACTCGAGATTATGGCGCTTGCCGACCTCAAAATCATTAGGATCATGGGCAGGAGTGATCTACAAAAATATTCATGTTTCATTTGCATCTAGTTCTCAGGACAAGAGCTGAAAAACAGAGAAAAGCATTCACGCACAAATCTTATCGGTTACCTTAACGGCACCTGTGCCAAAACTCATATCTACAAGCACCGCATCACAAACAATAGGAAGTTTCCGCCCATTGAATGGGTGGACAGCAAATTTCCCATGAACATGGCTGTATCTTGGATCATCAGGATGAATGGCAATAGCAGTATCACCCAGCATCGTTTCCACTCGAGTAGTTGCCACAACAATCTCACCCAAACCTCCCTCCAGAGGATATGCAAACGATGTCAGCACTCCAAACTCCACGGGTTTTTCATATCCAGGAACTCGGAGTTCCGTTCTCTCTTTGATTTCTATATGTTCCACCTAAATATAGAAAAAAAAATTTGTTCAGATTCAGGACCCATACATGCACTTGCGTAAGACAGGTTGTCTAAGACAAATTTTATTACCTCAATATCAGATATTGCAGTTCTCAAGACACAATCCCAGTTCACTAAACGGAGATCCCTGAAAGAGAGAATCTAACATTTAAATAGCCAACTAAACATACATCAAATAATCACGCTATAGTGAACATACATTCCGCTACATTGGGAAACACCAATGCCGTACTGAACTTTTCACTGAAAGCACACATTCAAGCTCCGTAGACCTTAATACTGGCTAATATTTTTGCACATAAATGGTGCACAGCGCCAGGTCTGAAGTGGTCAAATTCAAGCACATGATTTTACTGACCTAACATGATAAATAAATGGAATGCGAGTTCTTGTATTTAAAAACTAATTCTAGAGATATCCAAGATCACAAAGAATTTTGGATTAAAGAATATGAACATAACAACACAATTAGCTTCAGTACAAGGAAATTCTATGATGATGATATAGGTAAAAGTACCTATATATGAGACCCTCCTTGTGGAGTCTCACAAAAGCCTCAGTCACAGCTCTCGATCTCTTCTCATCCATGGTGAAGCACTATTTGTTGACAATTTTTTAAGGACAATGAAGAACAATGGTCATCAATTAATACTATGCCTATGTAAGATATGTAGTGGTACCTTAAATCAAAGATGTAGCAAACAAAAATTATTACCTCACGGGACCAATCTAAAGATGCACCCAAGCGCCGAAGTTGTTTTAGTATGGTGCCCCCATACTCATTCTTCCAATTCCAGACCTATCACCAAATTACCCAGGTGAAATAAACCCAATAAAATAACTTCCATGTATGTCTGAATGGGTTATATAACCTTCATGTCATGAACTGAAAGCACCAATTAAATGGCACTGAACTCAAAGCAGTATTACACCGTATACAGTGACAAAGTACAGATTAACTCACTTCATCCACAAATTTTTCACGACCAACATCATGTCTCGTCAAATTCATTTCCCTCATAAGTTTCTTCTCCACAACAACCTGAGACAGTTACATAAACATCAGTTTAATCTTTTAATAGCCACCGTGACGGAAGTGGAATGTACAGCCATCACACGAACAAACCTCAAAATTTTCTAAAGTACACGAACGTACATAATTTCACAAGCAAAATAAAATGAACGTCAGACAGTCGACATTTGCAAGACATGCAAAGCTTTTCACTTAAGGGCCGTTTAAGGGTCGTGTTTTTTTCCTTTTTGACCCGCCGGGCCGGCCCTTAGATATAGCCGGGCCCGGTTATGGGCCCAGTATTTGAGGCCCGGCGGGCCGGACCGGGTCGTGAACCAGCCCGGCCTTTGAACACGTCTAGCCACAATTAGAATTCAAAGCACAGGCAAAGCTGAAAGCTCATAGTGAAGCAAGATATCATCACAGTAGATAACTAAGACAATCAAACTCTGCATGAAAGAATCTCATACTGCCTGAGTCGAATAGAAGGCACAAAGTTAGGGGGCACATAAGTGTAGAAAATTGTATGAGTACCAAAACCAACCTGTGTTGCAATTCCAGCGTGGTCCATACCAGGCACCCACAATGTATTGTAACCTGACATCCGCCTCCAGCGAATTATAGTGTCCTGGATGGAGTTAATATAAAAATAAGAAAATAACATTCATATGAACTGTAAATTAGGATAAACTTGCACGTCATATATCATAATATCAATTACAGAACCTGGATTGCAGCAGTAAGGGCATGACCAATATGGAGGGCCCCAGTGACGTTTGGTGGTGGAATAACCTGCATTCCGAAGGCAGAGTAAGGGTAACAAACCACATGTTCAATAATTACACATAGGCACTTTAACAATTTATGAACTCTAGCTTCATGTAGAGTCCTTATCATCAACGCCATAAGATATAAAACAAGATCACCATCTATATGCCATCGTTCAGGAGCTCCAATTATTCCTGTTTCTCAAGCACCTAGCTATGTTATTATAATTCCACGCCATACGAGTATCAAATAACCAAATTGGATATACAATTAAGATAATTCTCGTAAACCAATTGATCTCACCGAAAATATGATAGCATTAATAATTTCTCTACTGCATATGTGACAATGTTAATACTTTGTCTGAAGGTTGATACAATATAATATATCTAAATGCAGATTTGGACCACATTTTCCAATTTATTTTCCAAAAATACACTATGTACCTTCAGATTTATATACAACAGAAAAAGGATTTTCAAGCCATTATACACACTATCATTACCCTGCATCTTCTTTATCACAAGACATGCGTATATATAAATTGACAGCCAAATAGAAGGTAAAAAAGGACAATCTACCTTTCTAACTACACTGTTTCCTTTTTTCTCCATATATTATATAGTTAATACATTTATCATTTTTTAATATATTTCCCCCTTTGATAACTAATAATCAAGGACTTCCAGAGTTCAAGAAACTCACAATTACAAATGATGGTTTGGAGCTTTTTGGGTCAGCCTCAAAGAAATTAGATTTCTCCCACCATTCATACCACCTGGATCAGGAATGTGAAGCAAATTGATTAAAAATGAAGCATTTACATACTTTAATTGAAAGTTAAACAGGTATAATCTGATCATACGAGTTCTCAACAGCACTAGGATCGTAAGTCTTTGCCATTTGACGAGAGAGCTTTTTCTTCTCACCCAAAGGTGTTTCAGGATCAACATAATCCTCCGGGTTATCCTCCTCGACTTCTCTTCTCGCATTTTTTTTCTTCTCTGATTTTGAGGTAGAGGGTTGTTGCGCCTAATTTTCCAATATTTCGGATGAGCAAAGCATTATTTACATATATAAGCTACTGCAATCTCCCTTGATTAAACTTAAGTCCCACATGAATACCTGGAGTTTGGCGGCAGCTGCTTTTTGTGCAGCTTTGAGCTTTTTCAATTCCTTCTCTCTAGCCTAAAATAAAAGCCCATCAACACCAGAGTCACGACTCCATGAAATTAAATGTTTCACCCAAACAACAGAAAAAATTAAAAGAACAACGAGTTTAAATTTGAGCCATTCTCTGACACGAGCGGAAACCAAAAACATAATAACAAATGTACGAAATATGTGGATAATATGGATAAGGCCATCCTGTTAAGCACGCAGGAAGATCAACAATCTTTTACGAATTCACAAAAAATCAACAGTACTGCCTGTCAGCAAATTCAATTAAATAATCACATCTCTTGAATGAACTCCGGATTCAGATACGAATAAATTAGTCATAAAATTTCAAAACCCACATCCTAACTCACTGCTTCCAGCTCCAAGATTCACATTCGTGCTCACAATTACTACTGGCACAAAATCAGTTTATTCAAAAGATAATATTAATGCCCACACCTTCTCTTCCTTTTTCTTCTTCTTCTCCAGTTCTTCCTGCGTCAGAACTCGCGAATCCATCGATCCCCCCACTATCAACGNACGACATATTCAAACACGGAGCATCATCGTCAATGGAATTTCTATACCGAACAATAATAAATACACATACTTATCCATGAAAACCAAAGCTCATGAAAAAAATACTGCTTATATTAGCTCACCTTGGCAGCACCGGCACTTCAAAATTGGAATTCGATATTGCTTAGCAGAGGGCGGTGCCGCGGTGATCGAGCGGCTAAATCCTGGTAAGATAACGAGTTGTTGAGAATTCGCGGTGGCGGCAGGGTGACGCCGGCGGGAAATGAGGTCTAGGGTATTGGGGATAAAGCGTCTGGTTAATTACTGCGAGTAAGCTATATATGTGAATCCATTTAACTACAGTGCACCTATGGTAACTGGTAAGTGGTAACTGATAAGTAGTAAAGGCTGTAAAGCATGTGGCTAGGTAGAATCCGCTCGTTTGCTCGACTCGCTTTGTTAATCGTTCGATCTCGTTTAAAGTTTTATTAGTTAATGAGTCGGACTCTGCTCGTTTTGTTAAAGCTCAAAAGAGAAGTATTTTCATATAACTTTGGGGTTGTATTCAATTAGGATTTCTAAAGACTTTAAAACTCTGGTGTATTCAATTTAGATTTGTTATGACTTTTTAAGACTTTTAAAAGTCTTTGGGTATTCAATTGGGATTTTTAAAAGTCTAACAAAATCATGAAGTATTTAATTTATTTGGAACTAGGATTTATTAAGACTTTTTAAGATTTGGTGGGATTTTTGAAAAAAAAAAAACCTTATACAAAATTTCACTTCAAATCTCACCTCTAAACTTAAGATTTCATAGAATTCTTTCAAAAAATCTTAAAAAGTCTCAAATTTTAAAAAATCTTTTAAAATGTCACTTGAAATCCCAATTAAATACACCCCCCTTTATGTAGTTCAACTTATTAGGCGCGATTAGATATAAGTAAAACAGGTTTTGATTGAATTTATTGGTTAAATTGAGTTAATTTTGAATACATTTCATTGAATGAGATTTTGAATTTGTATTATAATAATATAATATTTAAAATGTAATGACCAAGTTGATGATATTAACATTGTAAATGAGTCGAGTTGAGCCCGAACTCAGACTCCTCAATCTCGGCTCGTTTATCAATTATAACTAGCCGAGTTAAAACCGATCTCGCGTTTTAATGAGACGAAGTATAAAAAATAATTAAAGAAAATCTCTTTTCGAGCCTTATTGAGCCGAGCCCAGCTCACGAGCGTCTTGTTCGTTTAACAACTCAAGATATGATATAAAAGTAAGAGATATGTTATTGAACATTATAGGTAGTTAACAATATATAGGTGAATGAATAATGAATCTGTATATATATATATATATATATATATATATATATGTAAGGGATCATATGAGAAAGATGAATAGTGAAGGAAATAGAATGATTCTGGATCATTGGATCCACCAAACCAATGGTCATGATCAAGTCAAAATTTAATAAATAATAATTAAATATGGGTGGCAGTAAGGTAAATAAGTATATATAAACCATGGTCAAATGTATGCTTTTTACCACCAAATAGGGGTAAATTAGTCATTACAAATACACCAAATAATCAACCGCTAGTAGTGGGCCCCACCACTAACCCTTCCCCTCCCCCGGCTCCCGACGACAACGTCGTGGCCATTGCTGAACGCCTGTTGCACCACGTGCGGCTGCTAGCGTTGTGCTCGCCGACGAGCTCGGCCATCCGGGTGATAAGGTGGTTGTTGAAATCGAGGTGGTCGATGATGGTGGCATGGTGACGACGACCAGCGAAGGTCCACCGGTGGCCGCAGGTTGAAGTTCTCGGTGGCGGTCGAGAGGAAGGTGTTGGAAAACCAAAGAATTTCAATGTTAGGGATAAGAGCTTGCTTTTGTGAATTTGATAAGTATTAAGGGCCTAGTTGCAATTTCAGCATTTTTCATATATTACACTTTAGTTCATGGGTGAAATTGTAATTAAACAAATTGTATCTAATATTTTAATATTTAATATTTTTGTCTTTTATGGCTAAAAATTAATAATATTTGTATAAAAAACATAATAATAAAATAAATAATATTCTTTATATAATTCGGTCATTTGTTTATCTAAGTAAAAAAAAAATCTGATATCAAACCGGCATAATCGAGTTTTTAAAAGTAAGAAAAAATTGGCAATTGAATTGAAATTAAAATTCTCGAACTGCAAATTTTAGTTTGGTCTTCGATATGGTGCAATTTAATAGTCACAAATGTGCACTCGTCATACGTAGAAAATATATAATAATAATAATAATAATAATAATAATAATAATAATAATAATAATAATAATACTTTTTATATAAGTCGGTCCTTTCGGTTATTTCTGTTATTTTAAAAAGTAGAGCCGACACCGAACTAAAATAACCATGATTTTAAAAATAAATACAATTAATCAAACTAAAATATAAAATTCCAATCCAAAAAAAATAATTCATTTGGTTTTGGTCGCTATTGTGCAATTTGATAGACATTAATGATCAACTCTTCTAACACTATTGTGCACTCACATTGCATTCATTTTTTATGATTCGCACCGAACCAAACTAAAATTGAACCGACATAATCAATTTATTATATCTTTAATCATATTACTGTAAATAATCAAAATATTTTTTTATTTATATTATAAAAATATATTTAATATTTTAGCATTATATTTTATATCTTATATTATTTTTGGTTGGAAAACCTAAAAAATATACAACGAAATATAACACTTTTTACATAGTTCAATCGGTTCTGTTATTTCGGAAAATAAAACGACATCGACCGAAATGACCAAAGTTTTAAAAGTAAAACCATATAATCGTATAAAAATATATATTCGAACCAACAAATTTAGTTCGTTCAATTTCGGTTGCTATAGTGCAATCCAAAAATCAATAGTGTGCAATCCGTCCAACACTAATGTGCACTAGAAATTATTGAGAATCTATGAGAATCTCGCTATGTACAAGTTACGAATTCAGTAGCAAACGTAAACCTATGCGCAGCAGATCTAAATGTTTGACGTAGAAAACTTACAGCTTAAAATTGTCTGAATCTGTCGGATTCGAAATGACCGGGAACAGCACACGAACGGAGGCTGGATCACACGAACGGAAGGTGGGTCGGCTTGTCGCGATCGGATCGTGTGGCCGTGTGGATCGCCGGCCGGATCGTGACGCATAGGTGGGTCGTGTCGTGATCGGCCGGGCTGGTCGTGGCGGTCCTCCGGCTGCTTCACGGCGTCAGACTGCGGATCGGGTCGGCGGATCTTGACCTTCGAGTTGAGATTTGTCGACTTCTGTAGATGACCACTGGGTCTCGATTACCTTCGGGATCTTCTACTGTATTACTCACACACCTCTTCAACTCGTACCGGTGGAGCAACGATAATAAGATAAAGCTCGAATGAGATCTAGAGAGAGATAGTATGTGATATAGGATATTATACTAGACCGATTTAATGGATAAAAGGGAATATATTGGATAATAAGCCTACAAATGGGCTAGGACACGTGGCATGATGGTATTGGACAAGCCCAACTTGGGCCATAAGGTACACTCCCCCTATAAAAGGGGGCTAAGGTGTCTTATTCTCTCATTCTCTCTTCATTCATTACTACACTCTCATTTTAGTGAGTACTGACTTAGGCATCGGAGGCTCGATGCCAGGACCCTCCCGGCGTTGGGTTCTTGCAGGTACGGAGGCCGCCCGAGTTGAAGGGGTCCAGATGAAATCCATTTCACCATTAGTATGGGGCGGCGTGTTCACGTGAGAATGAATCTCTCCTCTTCTCATGAGCTTAATGATGTATATATAGAGGTACAGTAAGGATCCTTAGGAGAATAGGAATATGACTTTTTAAGTAATGGACTAACTGTGGGCTAAGCCCACTCCTCCAATTACTTAAATAATATTATGGTCCACTAACGTAATATTATTGCACTCCATGTTCCTAGCCCAAATTACATTTGAGAATCCAATTATCATTACTCAAATTACCTTCCTATGTTTAAGATAAAATGTCCATTAGATAATTCGATTACTGACAATCAAGAATTAATTAATTTATATTTATTTCACCGAAGCTAACGCTCGTTCATCATAATATTATTATGCCGGAACTTAATCCATTTGCAGGGTTTAGCATAACAATCCTTCATGAACTCACTTCGGGGAAATCATCAAACTAACGCACATGGTGACCGTAAATATCTTAACAGCACATCATACATACAACAATAATACCCAAGACAGTAAGAATATTAATCTCGCGAACTGAACCTCACCCAAGGGAATCAAAGTAATATGTACTGCATATTTATGTTTGTTTAATATCATACGGGTTAAGAGAACGCAGTAATTAACTGAGGCCTAGTTCGTTTACGACGATCAGTATATAAAACGAACTTCTCCTCTCTGAAATCCTGTTCAATACATAAATGTACTAGTGCAACTAATCAGTCAAGACTAACAGTACCGTTGACACTACAACCGTTCGGATGGGGTGTTCATTTCCATCTAGGTTGTAAACTATCGCAAGTAACTGATAGAATGATCTTCTGTTCGTCCGGTGACGACCCATTATATCTAAGTGCAAAATAATATAACATAGAACTTGTTTAATCTAACATGATTCTCATTCATAAGAGGTAAAAATGTAATATCATCCAAAGCCAAGCTTTCAGTATATAACACTACCATCGAAATAATCGGTTTATTTGAGTGGTGACCGAATTAACCTAAATAAGGAAATGATTTATAATTTATACTATGAAGAATATATTTTTTTTATCGGTAAAAGTAAATTTATATATCAAAACTATAGATCGAACGACTGATCATCGGCATACAAAAGCGCAGTGGGCAACCACAAACTAGGTTCCTCACTCGCGAATAATAATACTACGAGGGCAACCACATGTCGGTTGCTCACTCAAGTCTCTAATCGGATCATAAATGTAAAGAAGCAGTAGCGCACCTCATGCCCCCAATGCGAGGGATAAGTCTATCCAAGCCCAAGGCTTTTCCTCTCAAACTCGACAAGTACATTCGGATACACTGCAAATATAGTACGATAAACATGAGTTTTGATTTTACGTATCACATTACAAATGAAGAATATATTAATATATGAATGTATGTTTAAATTGTTTTACGGAAATTTTATCAATGTTTCACTTATGAATATTATAGTAAATTTTATTTTGCATGAATTACGTGCAAAATTTAAGTAATTGTTATTGACATGAACATTAACGATTACCATGCCTATTTGTAACTTCACAAAAAGTGATCCATCTTGCACGTCATTCTAATCCCGTCAGATTTATTTTGCAAAAAAATGAGTTATTGAAATTTATGTTTTGCCAATAAAAAAAAATGAAAATACATGGACCTAATTTGAAACTAAATGCAATGCATGAGGTTTGAAATTGAGTCATTTTTGGAATTTTTTAAATTATTTAATTTATATTCCTTAATTTTAATTGGCTCATATTTGTACATATTTATTTTAATTATTCTATATCACTTTATCTACATAATAGTAATAGTGTCTTTATTTATTCAGAAACGATGAAAATTATGTTATTATGTTATTATCATGACATTTATAATGTGACAAATACCTTTTTCCGTCGAATATCACAAATTATTTTTTAAGTTAAATTTATTTAATTTTAATTTTTTTGATGAAAATAATATATAGTCACAACCAATTATATATTGTTATTTTTAGAGTCACGGATCCATGTTGTCTTATAAGTCATAATGAATAGAGTTTATCCACTATTACTATTATACTTAGGTAAATATTTTAAAATATAATAGATAAAAAATTTTCATCCTGCTTTTTATTATCTCTCTACATGTTCTATGAATTTTTTTTTTTTTTATGTAAATTATAATTCACCCACATAATTTTTAACACCAACGCAACGCGCGAGAGGCGTACTAGGTAGTAGGTATTATTAAATAGATATTGATTTCCATTACCTATGTTATTCAATCTCATCAAATTTCGAACAAAAAAAAATAGTAATAATGTGGATGTCTCCTCAATACATATCAATTTGAAGATTTTGTACACTCAATGGATTCTTTGCATTCCAATTCCCATTATAAATTTTAAAAATAAAATGCATATGAGTGATATCTTTTTACAACATATAGATAGTGCATCATATTATTTACAAGTTTAAGGATGCGCGCCTTTTTTTCCATTTAAAAAATACTGAATCTTCCAATATTTAAAATATGTGGTTAGTTTAAGGATGTGTCCTTTTTTTTTTTTTAATTTTAAAAATAATGAATCTTCCAAGATTTAAAGAAACCAACTAAACATCATTTATTTTGTGGCTGATATGATTATCAAAAAACATATTGAATTTCTGGAAAATATACGTGGTTAGTTTCCTAATTATTTGGAGAGACTTCTACTCAATGTAAAACTTTTTCTAGGGCCAATATTATTATAAAAAGATAGATATCATGGAAACCAAATAAAAAACAATGACTAAAATTACTACATTTTTCTATAAGATTTTCCTTATATATGATCTTATAAAATCTTTTTTAATTTATTTATTTTTTTCATCCATATCTTTCATTTATTATTATTATTATTAATATTTTTTTAATTATGACGATTTTTCTCTACAAAAATGATTAAAACTCATTCATTCAACACACGCTAAAACAATTATCTATTCACTTTTTTACGAGCTTTCTTTTGCTTCATCTCTTTCGGAAAAAATAAAATAAAATGGCGCCGGTTTGGAACACAATGAAGGTCGTCACTCGCAACAATGAATATTACATGAACTTAAGGGCACTCAATGTGTTTGAGAGAAAATTCAACGTCGAATACAGTATCTTTCTGGAGATCGTCTTTCATGACGAAGAAGTAATTGTGATATTTTGTTGTTTTTAAAAACTATTATTATGTGTTTAATATTAATGTGCTTTAATATATCTAGGGTGGACGCATCACTAGGATGATCCGTTCTATGAATATTCTGAAGTTTTGAGATTTCATTGAAGAAGACAAAGTATACGCAATCAACAATTATCAAGTTGACAACAAAATTAAAATGTACGAGTCCACAATGCACAAGTGGAAGCTTGTCATTCATGCGATGACTAATTTATTGAAGTTTAAGGGCATATATCCTTATTATCGTTTTGATTTTAGAAACTTCGTCATCCTTCGTGATCCTAACAACGTTGATGAGATAATTCTTTTTTGTTACGTTAATGTAATGAATTATTATTTTAGTGGCAATCTCTTTTCAATTTTTTTAATATTATATTTTATTCAAAATATTTTGTTGTCGACGTAATAGATTTAATTGTTGAGATGGCATATGTGCAAGTGAAAAATATTAAAGGTGTTCCGACTCAGAGGAATATTAAGTATGTCGATAAATATATTAAATTCATTTGTTGTTATAACATGTGCATCAAGTAAATTCCTATAAATCATTATTTATAGGGAACACACTGTTAGTTGCACCCTGTGGAATTATTATGTTTTTATCGATTTCTTAAATTTGAGTCACAGTTTGCAATTGGTGATCATCTATTGATACTTATAATCAATCTTTGTCGAGCAAAGCAACGGGGAGGTACTTTTCTATATCTATAAATTATTTAGATTTAACTTCAATGCAATGCATCATATACGTTAGTTTTATTTATCTTATACTAATGTAGAGTATGTTCGAAAACATAAAAGGAAAAGTCAACTGATCACATCGCAATGTGACTCGACTCATTGCAATTGAGCACCTCCCTGAAAATCAAGGCTCTAGAAGAAGGTTGGTATCTTCAACATATGAATATTATAACTTTATTTATTAACTTCGTGATATTATTTAACTATTAAATTGTTGGTTTACCTCAACTCATAGGTTGGGGAATAATGCTCATGCTATGAATGTTTTTTTGTCTTCAAGACACCCAATTATCACTAGAGATGAGATTTATGAAATTGCTTCTGGTAACATGGTTGTTCTCTCTGTTGATTCTCTCTATGAAATATATGAGGTATTACGAATTATATTGATTCATTTTAAGTCGTTTACATAATTTATGTTAATAAAAAATGTTGATATTTCTTATTCGTTCCTTTTATGATCTTATATGAAGAAATCTAATAATTGGACATGCGCCACGGTTGAGTCCATAGTTGATGACTGGTACTACCGACAATCGTTATTGCATGTCGGTTTATTTTTTAAGAAACTGATTTTCATGGCCAGTTATACGTTGTTGTCTCCATTGTCACCAACTGAAGTGGTTTGAAAATATTAGTGTGTGGTAACAATGATTTGCCAATAAATCAAACAAAAAACGTTGCGTATAAGAATGCATTTAATAGTTTATAATTTTTTACTTTGTTTGTCACCTATTTATTTTTGCTACACATATAAAAAGATATATTAATTTTGAAATTGAATATGTTAAATATTCCAGAAAAATATATCATCTTGTGGGTCCCGATTAATTGAAAATAGTAGGTTGAGTTAGATTTTGAGTTGAGATTGATTTTTTTAACTAATTTTACAAATATTTTTTTACAAATTGAGAATATAATAAGCTAGTCAAAACGGTTGACATAATAGCTTGTCAAAAGAACTAGTCAAATACATAATAACTGGTCAAAACAACTAACATAATCTCGTAGCTATCATGGCAATAATATGTTGCCTCGAACACACAATATTTATTTCACTTTTATTTTACTTTACCTTTTCCAAATTCTAATACATTTAACATATCTAATTTATGGATTATGGAGACATTACGATTTGACCTCTATAAAAATTCTTGCTTTTCAGTTCATCTCACACATTTCTCTCTCGTTCTACACATCGTAGATAAACATTTTTTTTTTTCGTGATTCTTGTGATTATTTTTGTGTATTTATATACTCCAATCAACGTTGATTGTGTGCCCGATTGATTGTTCATCGGAATAATCGGATCGACGACGATCAGCTGAGGTTCGTGATGTTCTGATTGATTTTTCCTCTGTTGGGTTTTGCTGTACGCGCACGTTGTTGGATTTTTGGTTGACTGATTAAGCTTTGATAAATTTTGGAATTAAGCTGGGTTTTTTGTGGTGTTTTGTGAGATTTAGTCTTTTAGCCAGCTAGTGATTTTTATTCATTTGTTGAAATTTCTATCTTTTATCACAGCCCATTGATGTGTGTACCTTTTTGAGTTTTACCCTGTTATTTTTTTTATATATATATATTTTCTTCTGCTTTATATAGTAACTAGTCTACATGTTGCTAAATGCTGCTTTTCAACCAGTTTTAGTTGATAAATTGATGGATTGCTGAATGTGGTAATGTGGTGGCCTAGGTTCCATCTATATCTTGCTCAAATTAGTCTATTTGTTATGATTTTTGTAGTAATTGAATACGTTGTAGTGCCCTTTTGGTGATTGAATAATCTTGTTTAGTAGTCCCCTTTTGGTGATTGAATAATCTTGTTTAGTAGTCCCTCAAACGTATTGTTTGGTAATTGAATTGTATTTTTTTTAATCACCATTATAGTTTTGTTTATGGTTACTTGAGCTTGAGTTTTTCTCCGAGATTCCAGCCAATCTAGAATAACGTTTCTACTATGTGTCGTGTCACATGTGTAGTGTTAGTATTGTTGTTCTCAACTACGTTATTCGCAAAAAAGAACACTTTTTGACGACATTGATGATTAATCACTGTCTCTCAGCTTGAGACTTGTTTGAGCTGTCGATAGGCTGACAATGTTTTTACGTTATGAGGATTTGTAACCTTTATGGTTAAAATATTCTTTTCGTTGCACTTCAATGCATTTGAGGATGAAAAGGTTCATTTTATACTGTCTTTCCAATTCTGTGCTCCCCATGATCTTAGTTATTTATGGAGAGAGAGGAAAATGTTGTCAAGCTTGCAGTTTTGAGTTAGAACTGCATTCATTTATTATGGCCCGTGATGCCTCAACATGGTCTATTTCCTCCTTTAGTATTTTTCTATGTTTGGGGAGTTTTCTCGTATTAGTGAGATATTCTTCTGATAGATTACGTGATCGTATGCAGGATTTAGCTTGCTGAAGAAATTACTTCAAGACAAATAGCCAGCTATGGGGCATAGACACATGCTTAACGCACCCAACATTCTTGAGACTGATAGTGGTCAAGAATGGAATCACTCTGAACAACCTTTCATGCCAACAAGTATAATATTCCACTACTAAAATTTCATCTACTGTCATTATTTCATTATTCACCATCGACGTACTTTCTTTTCCTTTTTCTTGTGTGTATGTGTGGCATCGTAATCTGATTCTTATCAGAACATGACAGTGATGTCCCGTTGCTTACCTAATAATACATTTATGTGACACTGTTGGCCGACTGATGTTAGCTTATTATCTGTCCATAATCACTACATGTTCTAGAAGAGCTGAAGCTTTAAATGAGATATTGTTTTTAACAGCAATCCATCCTTGTTTTTACCAGATGTTTTTTATGATGATTGTGCAACTAATCCCTGAGTTTAGCCTAAATAGAACTAGATTTTTCTGTGGCCTAAATCTTTTAATCATTATTAAATTATCATCTTTAATGTTCGTATGTAATAATATTTTCTGTATCTGTATTTTTTTTTCCCTTAACTAATCGTAGCAATAGCCGGAGCTTCTGGAAGCAGTCCTCTCGTTTACCCTACAGTGAATATCCAAGGTGGACCATTTTCTTTATCTACTCCTACGTCAAATGGAAACCACTGGTCTATTCTTAATGCTCAATCCACACACAACGAAACAGAAGCTTCTGATCCACCTCATGATCATTTTCTCCATAAACCTGCTGATACAAATTCCCATTTGGTCCCAACTAACTATTTGCATGGAGATTTCAATAACCAGACTTTGAGCAAAGTGTCTCAGAAGCGTAAAAATCCTTATGTACCTCAAATAAGTGAGATGGGGTCCACAAGCAGATATTATGATGCTGGCAGTTCGTCGAATTTGCACTTGCCAGCTGTACCATATCAGGAAAACCAAAATGTAGATTCTTATCCTACAACTTGGAAGTATCCTCCTGGATACGTATTGAACAGCCTTTCCATCGGTGGCGAAAGTACACCGAGAAATGTGAGAAGTAGAGGCAATGCTGACGTGGAGATTCGTTCGAGCAATTTTCTCAATCCTTTTTCAAGTCAATCGTCTGACCAAAATACCTTGTTGGGATTGAGTGGCAGCATACCACAAGCTGGTCAGGGGGTGGCTATGGCTTCTGGTAAGTTTTCATGGCTTCTTCTTTTTTTTTTTTTTTTTTTTTTTTTTTCATAAATCTAAACNGTGTTGGTTATTTGTTATTACAGTAATTACACCTGAGATTTGGCCTAATACGGCGTCTTTGTAATATAGTTTTATAAATGGTAGTGATTTGCAGTATGCGTACAAATATAGTATATATTTTAAATTCTGAAAGATAGCTTAGCTAAATTAATTAAAAATGATATTCTGAAATTTTAGGTACTAGCTCATTTGCTCATGACCCGAACACCTTGGGCTCACTAAACAGCCATTCTAATGTTTCCATAGAGAGTGAAGGTTTCGGCAATAATAGTGGGGCATTGAGTAGGAATACTATTCATCAAATTGCCAACTATAATGCTGACCAGTCTTTCGGAAAGAATATAAGTGGTTATCTCCAGAGAACTGTCCCTACTCTTGGGGCCTCGTCGAGCAGCTTTCAAGCAGTGCAGCTAACAGCTCCAAATAATGGGCCAACAATTACTGCAGAAAGTAATTCTTCTAGACATCGACAGGTCATTTCTGCCATGAGATTGCTTAATAGAGAAAGGAATGTGAGAATCGGGATGCCGAGTGACACAGTTAGATTGGCTGCTCAGGAGGCAAGTTCCCACGAATAATTGACACTGCATGTGCATATTCTTACAAGCATTTTAAGAAAATTCGTTCTTTATCTTTTTTGTTTGTGGAAGCCATATTATAGTGAAGTTACTACCATGATTTTTCCTTTATATGGTTTGGTTATTTTGTGAATCCTTTTTAGTTGAGTGAAAGAGCTTAGTAATTGAATTCAGTGGGATACTATGGCTAGCCATTGTTTAAGATCTTGGCGTAGTTAATATATATTATTCTTGGTAAGGAGGGTCTTTTTAAATACGTGTAATATGTTTTGTCAGTTCTTTCGGTCATATTAGATCTTCTGTCATTATGGGAAAAAGAGAAGAGTAAATGATAAAGGAAGAAAAAAGAAATAGGATTTAGAAGGAAAGTTGGTTGGTAATTGTCTATCGATTTCTTATCTGTGAAGCTTCTTTTTTTGTACTTAACTCAATATCCTGGACTGGGTTTGACATTTTGCATGACTGCATATTTTGCATTTCACGTTATATTATGCACCTGAAAATTAATGATTCGGTTCTTAGTTTAATCATTATTATCAAATAATATTAAATATAAGGCTACATCTCTCTTTATATATTTAAGTTTAGTCCCTTAAAATTTTGATTATCCTTCATTTGAACACTTTTCACAAAAATGCTGAAAATATGTACCCATATTTTTCACTCTCAAATGGCACTTTGTTTCAGCGCCTCTTGGCTTTGGACCGTTCTGCACTTTATGGGCCCAATAATCCTTTTGATCAACACAGGGACATGAGACTCGATGTCGACAATATGAGCTATGAGGTCACATTTATACTCTTTTCCTTCTATTTCTCCGTTTATCTTATAGGGAAAAAAGTTAAAAGGAAATCTGGTTAATTCTTTTAACTTTTTTCCCCTTAAATGCATTCTTATTTTCACCTTTTGGTCAACTGAAAGAACATAAGCAAAATTGGCCTTCAACAGGAACTCCTTGTACTGGGAGAGAGGATTGGAAGTGTCTGCACAGGCTTGTCTGATGATTTAATTTCAAAATGTCTGACCGAGTCAATATTATGTTCGTCTGATCAATCTGAAGACGATGGAAGATGTGTTATTTGCCTGGTGAGTTTCACAGTTGCTCCAACTCGTAAACGTCAAATTATCATCATCATCATTATTATTATAACTTATGTATATATTTTATGAGCTGCTCTATTACAAATTCTACCATTGAATATTATCAGTTTGGTTGATTGGCCTATCGTTTTTATTCGTTAGACTTCCGAGAAGTTTAG